TGGCCAAGTTTGATGGCAGAACCGAGAGTTGTATAACGAACTGTGTAGATAGATATGTGGACACTAGTTTATATATACAGAACAGATTTCAGGAGAAACTGTCAATGATGGGAAGGCTGGGATGATGTCATCTCATTTTATATCAAAGACAGTTGTCAGAATTCATGTCATATCAGAGTTGTAGACACACAAACACTGGCATTGTAAACAAGGCATTTTAATATAAAAAAGAAATGGTGAGCTTATATGTTATCTGAAGTGATATTGTATTTTAATCACATGTATTTACTATTTAAATGTGATTTTTCAAGATTCATAAGAACTTATTTTGAAAGCAATGACATGATATATAAAGAAATATATTAGGTAAAACTGAAAAATGATCTCTTTCATATATTCATGCCACCTATTGTGTAGAATGGGTGTTACAAATCTGATGAGAATTAAACACATTCAAAATTACATCGGATATGTAGTCATTTTGGAATAGACAATTGTGTTTAAATGTCATTCTACAGAAGAATTTTTCATTGTCCTCTTTTAAATTGTAATATGTTGCACAATATAGTCACAAAACCTCTATAAAGTGTTAGTCAGCTATATGTTAGGTCCTGCACATGTAGCAGCTAGTGTTTTAAGTATTTACACTAGAGTGGGACAGAAAGGAGTTGATCCTGATATTGGAGAATCCAATCACACTGCAAGACTTGGTAAATTAATTTTTGGATCTATGCACATAGTTTCAAGGAATCCCTGATTCCATAAATTTCACAATTTAGAAGATCAAAAACATGCACTTAGTTTACCTGCTAAATACCCATTGGAAGAGAGGATTTTGATACATGTCACTTGATAAACAATAGAGCCTGATCCTGCCCTCAAATGTACCCTGGGTCCATGCAGCTGCCATGAATTTCACAATTATGGAAGAGGCACCTTGATCATAACTATGCACTTAGTTTCTTTGTTTAATACCGAGAAGTAGAGATTTTCCAAAAAAATACTCTTTTAATATATAAACAGTGTAGCACCCAATCTAATTAAAATTAGATGTTAGATCTGCTCGCATACTTGCTACACAACATCTAACAACATCCCATAGAGCCTCACGCCAGAGGTCAAATTTGAAACAACTCTAGACATCCGCTTCAACAATGATATGATGATTTTGCAGGCGACGATATGATTGTTGATAGAATATGACCTCTGATGTGACCTTGTGTAGCACAATCATTGATATCCAAAGAATTTCTGACCCTGCATGGGGCTATAAAGAACAATTTACAGTTTCAATGCAAAAGCCCTGTATTTTTCTAAAATATGAAAGTGATATAAGAAAATAAGAAATCAGAATTTATTCTTTATGAATAATAGGAATTCCATGGAGTAGGAATACACAAATCATTTTTCTCACATGACCTCCTGAATGGTAACTGTAACGTCATTAACTTGTGCATTTTCCCGTATTTTCTTTAAAAGTTGAGACTAAAACTGAGGTCCTGTGTCGCAGCAGGTGCTGGCACGAAAAATGTCCCTTACTGCTCAAGTGCAGGGTATAAGTCAAAAATTGCAACTATCCACCAGCAATTAAGTGGTGGCGTCTCCATATGAGTGAAAATTTTTTGAGAGGGGCGTCAAACATACAATCAACGGTACGGAGGGCGCTGTTGAAGATCCAGATCTTGGTAACGTGTGGGTGTGAAGAATAGTTACTGTGGATCTCCAAATGTTTTTCAAAAGCTTGATTTATCTAAATATCCTGATCCTTTATTGACCTACTGTTGATCAGTACTGGCACTCTAAGTGGTGTTTACTCGAAAATCTGTGTTTTTTTTGGGGGGGGGTGATCTTTAATCCGATTTTGTTAGCTCCGAGGATCTAATAAATGATACAAATTAATCAAAAAACTGAAAATATTTGGAACACACAAAGTAGAATTTACATACCTTACATCAACGTATCTTCCAGATTTCTGGGTCCCTGGTTATATCAAATATTTTCCCTGTATCCTCCTGGTTTAAATTATTTATTTTTTTCGGAAATAAGTTTATCGGTTCTGAATTTAGGAAGCGTTTCCTTGTGTTGGTTAAGAAAAATGACTGTTTACCTTGTCATTGCTGGGAAAAGAGTACCAATTAATTTCCCATAGAACTCTATACAAACCTTTTGCCCTCCAAGTAATTTACTAATTCCCGTTCAAACAAATCACTGGTATTATTTGAAAGTTCGTTCTAAGCACTTATTAAAAACACGAAAAAAAATATACCGTTCCGCGGCGTTTATAGGTCAAATTTGCAGTTATTTAGAACTTACAGAGATCGGCAGTAAATGACACCCTGCCAAAAATATCAATCCCCACTCCTACAATCTCCCCTGGTATTTCTAGAATTTTTGTAATATTCCCACATTCCATCATTTATTTCAAACATTAATATTTTTACTTTAAAATGAAAATATTTACATACCTCAATTCAGCCAATCAGGTAAAGCCTACCCATTTATTACTCTGCTTCATCTTGTTCAACCAGGAAATGATGTCAAAATCTGGGTCTTTGGTGCTCTTTTTCCTATACTTACATATTTACCTATCCCAGAATTAGTCAATTTTGTAATTTTCAAAGACCTTATACTTACCAATATACATGTATGAAATTTGAGGCCTGTCACTTCAGTGTCTTGGAATCTGTGGCCATCTTAATGAATGTCCCCTCCCTGCTGCAGGTGCTTTTCCAAAGAGTGAAAAACTTTCATTCCTGTGATGAAATCTGGATACAGTTGTCACTGTAATGAATAAAATATTTATAAAATAACATGATTTTGTTTTTTGATGTTAATAAAATGATATAAAGTCATAATTGTGTCAATTTTTTCATAGGGGTGGAATCTACCCAGAATAAAGAAAAAAGGTCCAAAATTTGATAAATCATACTTAATTAAGCAAAATTAAAAGGTTTTAAAAAGACTGATATAGAAATTTTCTTATGCTTATGAAAAGTAAATTGTTTGAGACTCTGATATACTAAATGATTCTTATCTAACCCCTCCTGTTGCTTAAGTATATACAAAAAAGTTTCCCCACCCCCCAGTGAAAGACACTTAGAGAAATAGCAGGTGCCCCCTATTATATTTGTTTACAATTAATTCAGACAAGAGAAAATTAATACTTTTGATAACAAATCAAAGTGCAGTGTCTGATAGTCTTATACAGTACAACCATAATCTACATTATTGAATTTCATGCTTTAAAAAGGGGAATTCAGATTAATTTGTAAAAAATTAAGAAATGCAATAATTGACTTAAAACCCCAAAATGTACACCACAATAAGAGGCTGAAAAGTTAATAAATGAAAATTTTACCTGCAATGTACAGAAATCTGTCCGACAAAATATATCGGGTGGGTAGCGAGTCTCCATCTTCTTCTTATATAGAGAAAATGCCCCCCGCCGATCAGATACCAAGCTCTCCCGGGGCCAGGAAGCTGAAATATGAAAGTCCTCTATAGTCTTTAAATGAAAATAAATCAATAAAGTTAGTCAAATTAAGCATAAATCATAAAGAAAACAGCAATATTTTTTCAAGTTTTCTGAAAAATTACCAAATTACATATCTTCTACATGGCCGAATGTTTAAAAAATGGATCCGTCAAGGGTGGAATACATGTTTTACAATTTTACATGTAATTACATGTAAATATTAGAAAAGTCAAATGTGATACATGCAGTAATGCCATTCCAATAATTCAAGAAAACAAAATCAGAAGCCTAAGGTCACAATAATTAAGATTATATCATGTTGAAATTCTACATATTTGGTTAGCTAGTCTAAGGGAAGTAACTCTAAGTACAAAAACTGGAAAGCAGTAGAAAATGAGTTGCAGAGAGTCACCCTGATGGAACTACAAAGAGCAAAAAGAGGGAAAACACATACCTTTGTGTAGCTACAATATAGAAACAACCAAACTACAAACTGATCCCCCCGCAGTCAAAGGGAGGCAATCCACAGGATCACATACACTACCGACATGATACGTCAAGACAGAAAATGACCTCCTTTCACATGAACACCACGAAACGCACTTTTAAGGGCCGAATAAATCATTTGAAAAGATACCAAACATGCAGACGTATAAGAAACTAAGCAAAAATTAACACCAGGCCACCCTCCTACACTTCCAAAAGTACACATATATAGCAAATCATATAAATACACAATTACATGTAAATGTAAAATACATACATAAATTTATGAATACATACAAACATTTATTATAAGATCAATCTGATACATTTTCTTAACTTACCTTTCTCCTATGGCCAAGTCAACTACACATTGTTTTACCAATTTCCATCCTCTGTAACCCCCCCCCCCCCCCAATCTCTACAAAAGACCCAAAATCACCTCTAACCCTAATTCCACAGATAAATAATTCAAATTTTTGCTAATTTTTCTCTCGAAATGTCTTCAATATTCAAATAAATTGCTAAAAATAACTTTTCATGACTTTCACTTCACTTTACTTATTAAAAAATGGGGTCTCTATAGGGAAAAGAGTACCAATTAATTTCCCATAGAACTCTATACAAACCTTTTGCCCTCCAAGTAATTTACTAATTCCCGTTCAAACAAATCACTGGTATTATTTGAAAGTTCGTTCTAAGCACTTATTAAAAACACGAAAAAAAATATACCGTTCCGCGGCGTTTATAGGTCAAATTTGCAGTTATTTAGAACTTACAGAGATCGGCAGTAAATGACACCCTGCCAAAAATATCAATCCCCACTCCTACAATCTCCCCTGGTATTTCTAGAATTTTTGTAATATTCCCACATTCCATCATTTATTTCAAACATTAATATTTTTACTTTAAAATGAAAATATTTACATACCTCAATTCAGCCAATCAGGTAAAGCCTACCCATTTATTACTCTGCTTCATCTTGTTCAACCAGGAAATGATGTCAAAATCTGGGTCTTTGGTGCTCTTTTTCCTATGCTGCTGCGGCATTTGCTTTGTTTGATGTTGCATATTACACTAGAGTTGTAATTTCCTTTATTCTGTACACATGGAAGGGAAAATTTAAGCGAATGCCGATTTTGGATGAAAGCATAATAAATGGTAACGTACCATAACCAGATAAACATCTCTGATAAAGGGGCGGGCCTACTGTAGTCATGAAGAAAAAATATCTTCTTCACACATCATTTCTAATATTAAAAATAATAACAATAAAATGATTAATTACATATGTACATATTTCATAATAAGTAACGTAAAAGAATGTGGACGCATTTGATACTATGGAATCTAGGCGCCTTGAAACGTATTGAACCTTTATAAATTTTTGCATTCCACATGTTCTAATGATAGTATTCTAACTGTCAGTTAGGGAGGACAACAAACTTCAAAAATATTTATGATTTCTTTTTAATGGCTGCTTGTTTTTCAAGATATGCAATATTTATTTCACCAAATTGAATGAATTGGCAAAAAAAGAAAACTATCCAAAGGCATTTTTGCTGGCTAAAGGTTTATAATCCACTATATATACTCTCCTCAGAAACCCTTGGCTAGCAAAGATGCTTTAAACTAATTTCGAACTTTTTTTTAATACTACAGGAGTGTGTTGGACAAGTGATCTAGATGCAAATTGGCACATGAACAATTCACGCTATCTCCGTGAATGCGATTTTGCCAGGCTGAAATTTTTTCTGGAAAAGGGCATTTTTAGTGGCCTTTGGAAAAGCAATGCTTCAATCATTAATGGAGGAAGTACCATAAGATACAGAAAATCTCTGAACTTCATGGACTTTTTCTTCATAAAATCAAAAGTGAGATGTTTTTCATACCTTACCTATATTGTATAAAATAATGAAGATTTTAAATACATATATTTGTAACAAGACTGCATTACCTTCAATTTTTGAGCCATTAATGTAGAGCACATAAATTTTTCTTTTTCTTCAGATACTCCACTGGGATTCAAAAGCATTTTACCTAGAGCATCAAATCAGAGAAACAAAAACTAACTTTGTGTCAGCAATTGCACTTGTCAAAATGGTTGTGAAAGGAGCCAGTCCTGACACAGTGCTAAATAAAATGGACATCACCTTAAGTTCACCAGCACCACCACCTGAGTTACAAAGATTTATAGAACTAAATCAGATATCTAGTGAAAAACTAAGAAAAGCTATGTAATTTATCAAACTTGATCAATGTAAACTGTGATAAATGTATATATAGAAATTAATCAGGTCTCAAATGAAAACTCAGGGAAATCATGCATGTACCATGTATGTATGTTATCAATAAATTTGAAGATAAGGTAATTATAAGACTTAATGCCAAGATCAGTTTTAATGTCAGTGACTGTTTCTTAAATTTTTTTAAAAAAATACCAGTTTGTGTAATTTCATCATCTTACCAACACTCAATAAAGGGGTTCAACTCTGATTCAATATTAATATTCTTCTCTTTTTTCCTATCAATCCTCATGTTTACTAGGTATTCAAAAGTTGAGTAGCATATTCAAAAGTTAACTTGACCCTAATCAGTGAATTGATATATATTGCAGAAATACCATATGCTACTTGACATCTGGAGTGAAATAAACAGTAATAACATAGCTAATGAGATCACTGAAGGAGATAAACTCTTCAAAATTTGGTCAAAGTTATTAAAGCTGGTGGATATCTTTAATAATATCCTCTGTCAGGAAAATATTGTTCCTTTACATGTATTTTTTAACTTTAAAATATTTATTCAAATTGTATAATTATGCATCTACATGTAAGTTTGATGTGTTACTTGGGATGCAGAACTTTAAAAGGTTTATTCAAGTGGAAGCAAACAATCATACTGAAAGGATACTCAGAGTCATTGCTTTAAGTGAACATTGCGGCTTTGGACGAGACCTTAAAATCTGAAGACTCATGCCATTGTAGACATTAGCATGCTACATACCGTGAAATCACTAATTTTCGTGGAGATTTCATTTTCGTGGTTTTCAAGGTATGAAGAGACCCACGAATTTATGTCCACCACGAAATGCAATTTTTCACATATATTACTACTGAACAATTCTTCAACCACGAAATCAAATCCCCATGAACCAATGAATTTTCCTCAAACCACGAAAATTTGACCCCTCAAAAATATGTGATTTTACAGTAACTGCTCAATTGGTTTAACCAACCTCCACTTCAACCTCTTTAGAAGCTTGTCTTTTACAGATGCCTACAGGGAGGAGGGGCATGATCAACATATTTTGACCATTACCATATAAACATATTAAATTATCCATGTTTATTGCCAAGATTTAAACCTTTTTAAATTAAAAAAAATTTAAGATCTTAACTTTTTAACTTTCCAAATAAAGAAACTATGAAATATCTCATAACTCCAATTTCTCAAAAATCTTCATAATCAAATAAAGTTCTGAATGCTTATATTAATTTATTAACAACAAATAACAGCTAGTGCATTCTATTAATTATGACATAATTTATCATTAGCACATGGTTAATATGACACATGAGGTAGTTGTTAATGCTTGCAATCATCAATCACGTACATTACTCTGTACTGCCAATACATTTAAATAATTAATCTAATACTCTTCTCTCTAATCTTAGTCTACACAAATTGTCATTTTTCGTCCTCATTCTTTCAGTTTTTCAGCATAACTTCTGTTGATTTAAATCTGCAAAATAAGAAACAAAATATTCAATTGTTGCATAGAAACAGAGAAAAATTCCAGAAGACGATTAGAACTTTGATTAATATGATGACAATGCATATCCATTTTAAACACCCAATATTTCTACCATACAGTTACGATAGGGAAGAAGGAATTTTAGAGGTACCTAATATTACATTTATAAAAAAAATCTAAGGTCTTTCAAGGAAGTGGAAATAAATGTCAACTCTTTACATCAGATTGTCCGAGTACTACATATTAAACTATCAGGTTTCACTTCTGTTGGAAGATAAATTTTATGTGTATCTACCTACAGTAAAGTTTGATGAATACTTTTAACCATATACACACTTCTTTTTTTGTCTATACATTTTCAAGATTTAGGAAATAATTAAATGTAAGTAAATCAGATAGTTAAATGACTATCAATGGTCATGAAACATTGGTCTACACCCTGGCAGACCTACCAACACAACAGTGTACATGTACCACCCGATCTAAAGCTGCAAAGCAATATGGCCCACTCTTTGAATGTAAGTACAATACAAACTTACAGATTTTTAATCCTGTTCACTTGACTCTGGGTATCTGTATCCCCAGTAGGGAGGTTCATGGATTCCCCAAGCACAATCTGTGTGTCCATCTCCACTGTGTTGTGTTGTGGAGTACTGGATCGCCGCGGGTCAGTTGTGTCGTTATTATTGGAACAGAATGTGGTCTCCGGAGTCCTATGCTGATGAGGGGTACCTGCCACATGACGAATTGGGGAAAACATGACCAGAGTGGAATCATCATACAGGGCGGACTGATACGGAGGAGCTTTATACTTGGGGGATTTCTCTGTTGTGTGATTTGTGGTTATCTGCTGAGGCTCTGTACTGTTTCTTTCCTGTCCTGACACTGTTATTGGATTATCTTCAATACAGAAATTGATTCTTTTTTAAAAAACACTAAAGAGCTCAAAAGAATTTTTTTTGTAAATTTTATACAAATATGACCTATTTTGATTCCATTTGTTAAAATTTATGTTTAAATGACTTATGTTTGCCAAATCCTCCTACAAATACACGTATGAAAAAGAGAATCAATACAGTAAAAATTGTTCAATGGCTCATTTCTAAGCATATACTGGTACATCTCATTATTTAATCTTATGGCTATAACAACAAAAATTATTTCCATAATACAATGACCAAAACTTCCTGTACCTGCTTTGCTCTTTAGAGTAGAGCTGCTAGGAGGTCTGGTAATTTCTGTCATATTGTAATTCTGCTGTCCCTGACCCTGAAGATTGGTATTAACGCCAGATACAGCAGATCTCTGAGGTACTCCATTGTGATTTGTAGGCTGTGGTAATGTTGGCTCCTCTTTTCTTTGAGAACCAGCTAACACTGCCTCAATCTAAAATCATATTTTTTAGCAATATTTTAAATGAAAACCTTCTTAAAACAATTCCTTTCTATGTATTCAAAACAAAAAGTTATTTGTATTTCTGGAGTATTCATCTTCTTTTTAACTTGTGAAATATAAAAAAAAAATTTCTTTCATATTGCATTTTTCCGCTTATAATTCTTTGTGCATTTCTACCAAATCATACCTTGCTTTCCATCATAGAAACCCTATTTTCCACAAGAATCATACGTGCATTGAGAGATTCAATAGACCTGGTTAATCCAGACTCCAGAGTCCCGAAACACTTAGTCAGCTGCTCTATAGCCTAAAACCAAAAGATTATAACACACCTGACCATTAGGAAAGCATACATATATTTGTGGGTTGTTTTTTTTTGGAAGGATGATTTTGTAAAGTTTTTAAAATGCAGGTACGTACGCCTGTTTAAATGTCAATTTTTGCTAGAAGTCTATAAGTAACCATTTAAAATTTAAACTATCTGCATTATTATTGTTTGCAGCTAACTGGAAAGTTTCACGTTACGTCATGATCTAGTGGACAGCTGCGCTCAAGGTAAATAGTACACGCCTCCTAATGGCAAGCTTTACGACTGGAACATTCTTCCTATCCCTGATTGGTTGCTCGTGCAACAGACTATTTCCGTGTCAATGTTGATAATTTAGTTAACTAATCACGTGAATTGTTTACGCTGGATGCATCTGACGAAAAAGATCGTGACGTAACATGAAACTTTACAGTTAGCTGCAAACTATAATAATTCTATGGTATATGTATATATTAGCTATAATCATAAGTAGATGAGTTTCATTCTATGATGTATATAATAAACTGCATAACCTTGAGTATATGAGTTTCATTTAACATTTGCTGGTTGGCCTGGCCAGCTTGAGGCTGCTGTGGATTGCTGTTGTGATTTCTCTCTGTTTCGATTGTTTCTCCATTATGAGGCTCCATGATGGAATGTGCTGGTGTAGCGGCCATCACCGTCTCTATACCATCCTCCTCTTCCTCTTCTTCTTCCTCTTCCTCATCCTCCTCTAAACAGAACTGAGCATGGCCTGGGATATCTGAAATAAATGAAGACTGTGGGTAATTACATGGTCATTAAGAATCTCTCTTATAGATTCTAGGGCTTGGAAGATATTAAAATTTCAATAAAATCAGTTCTGTGTTAGAATAATACAAACTTTTTTGACAAATACTTAAAATACTAAAGTGGAAATGAATTAAGCAGACAAAAAATTTTATAAGGCTAGTGCCAATCTACATTCATATCTAGCCAAAACAATTTTTTTTCATTTGTGTTCAGGCATTGGCCCAGTATTTTTGGTGCACACTGGTTTTGTACAACTGAAATAGGATGGACAGACAGCTAGATCTTTATAGGGTACCCACAGAAAGAGGCCTTTTGCATTTAAAATCTGTAAGACCAACTTCAATTTATGCTCAGTGGGAATACTGTCAGAATACCCTGCTTTCTGCAATGATTTTTTGATAGCCACTATCATAACAATAGTATTAAAATAAAATCATACCACTTGAAAATGGAATGGACGATCTGGTTTTTGCAATGCTAGGGGTAACAACTGCCCAATTAAATCCTCTAACATTTCTACCAGCAGATGGCAGCACCTCTTTGGTGACCCTAGGTGGAGAGGTCACACTGGCTACATGGACTGGAGGTGACCTCTGTGTGATGACTTGGTCTGAAGATTCTGATGAAGAGGATGTGTCAGCATCTTTTGTTGGTGAGTGGTTGTCCAGTAATCTGTTATTTGATACATGGTGAGCTGTATGCTTTGGAATGTTCTCAGCTGGTTGGAGCAATTCATTGACAACCTGCTAGATGAATTTATGTTTAAATTCAAAAACTGTTTCTGAATTCAAATATGCCATAATTTTAATGTCTCTGTTATCTTGTCTTGAAAATAAGGTAATCAAAGACAACAAAGCTCAGCTTGAGAAATATTACTGATTTCATTATATGCCTGATTTACCTGATGGGGATCAAAATCTGTTAGAGAACGAGGAGATACAACCGCATTCTTAGTGTCTGGCAGTCCCTCCCTCTGTGAACTGTAGGTATCTAGGGATGACCTGGATCTCCTAGAGCTGTTGGGTCTTACTTGGGTCTGGTCAGTCACTTTGGTCTTGCTGGGCTTTAAAATTTATCAATCATTAAAGTATCCATATTGCATCAAATCGACAAAATAAGTGACCATGTTTTTATCCTAAATATCTTAAAAATTATATGACGAAGAGTGATTTTTTTCCACATGTTTTTGAATGACCCTTATAAAAAACTTGCAGAATAAGACATTTGAACTATAAAATTACCTTGATATATCCATGGTACTCAGGATATCAGTGTTCAAGATAACAAAGTTAAACTGTAGTATATTTCAGTTATATTCACCTTCATAGAGACCACCTGTCCCAGGTTACTAGTCGTTGTTGTGGGGGCCTTTTTCTGAGGCTGTAGAGACTTGTTCTTTAGTTGAATCAGTTTCATCACTTCTGTGCACATGATAATTTTCCTTTCGACAAAACCATTGTTAAAAAACTGTTCCTTTGTTACAGGAGGTTTATAATGAAACAAGTCCCTCAAAATCTGTAACAACAAATTATAGATAAGTACATGCAATGCTATATTTACCATATCGGCAGAGAGAAAGCATATTAGATAGTACAAAGAGAGAGAATAAAAACAATAAATTTTAGAAGACTAAGTGACCTCAGTATCGATTTCATGCATCCGTCTCACCTTGTAGCACCCCTCCATGAATCGTAGATCTGTCTTGGTATACAGCTCAGTGTCTGTGCTGGCAATCAGCTCTGCTATGGAACAGCTGTATGTGGTAAATGCGTAGTGGTAGATGGGAAGAAGGGCTGATGCCTTACCCTGTGCAAGTCTAAAGGGAAAATCTACCATAGTAGTAAGATTTTAAACCACATTAAATATATCATTTAAAGTTGTGCTTAAATATATACAAACCAAATAAATGGTACAATAAAACTTGTTTAGTACGAACATGTATATTGCTAATTCACGAATATAGCGAAGTTATCTTGGATCTTCAGCTATATAAATTTAACGAATTCCTTATACGGATATAATGAATTACGGATATAGCAAAGTAAGTTCACAGGTCCTGGCGACTTCGTTATAACCAAGTATTACTGTAGTTTGATATACACAATCATTTTATTTTTGTTTTCAGGGCTCTCGATTCTCTAAAATTGGGGCCGTTCAACGGCCCCGTTCCCAATGCAAAAAAGGTACCTTTTTTCCCAAAAGAAAGGTGTAAATTTCCCAATTTCAATCTAGAGTAAAATATTAATTAAAAAATAAAAGTCCATCAAACCTAATCGCAAAAAAAAAAATCCCCAAACAAAACACATTTGCAAATGAAATTGAAACTGTACTACTATTTTATTAGTTCGCGCCAAATGCATTTGTAAACTGGTTCGGGGAACCAGGTTATTGTTTTTACAAAAATGTATACAACTATGAGTGCAGAGTATCTTGTTATGTAGTTTTGACAAAAACCAGCATTTTGGTTTCAAAAATAGACATTTCATTTAAACATAAGTAAGCTGCACCTAGAAACATACCCGCGCTTCGGCATGTTCAGTCTCGCGCTGTATTGGTAAGCAAAGTTGCCCATGTGATCGAGGAAATTCGGGACTATGTGACTAGCGACTGTCACGCAACCGCAATGTCAAAACTCAAAGATAGTAATTACAAAGCTAATGTACTTTCATAAATAGCCTACGTACCCATGTTTGTTCTGTTTAACTGTTTATTCAAACCAGAGTTAGCATTGATGATAAAATGCTAGAAAAGCAAAATTTGAGGATTTTTTTTTTAATGAATTTGTTTTATCCAACTTTTCCCAAAATGACGATAATTTTCCCAATTTGAACGGCCCCGGCCCCAGTCCCAAAAAGTGGTGTGAGAGCCCTGGTTTTACCTTAATGGCTTCTCACTGACAGTCAAACGGTTGAATAAATTTAATCCTATGTGTTTTTTGCCAGAAAATAAATTTTAACACATTTTTTTAACTACACAACCTGTCTCCTTTCTGATAGTGTAATTGATCATCATCATCATGAATTAATATAACATACCCATTCAAATCCAAACTTTCCTGGTACTTCATAATCTTCAGTTCTTTCTGAAGTTTTCTGATATTGTTTGTCAGATCACCAGTTGCCATGTTCTGTAAATACAATATAAAACAAATAGAAAAAGTAAAGATTTTTTTTTATTTCATCATGTTCACGTAAAAATGGAAGGGGAGGGGGTGAAGTGACAATCTGGAGTGAGGCAAAACACCTAGTCATTACACAAGTATTAAATGCATACACGCATTGATCAACAAGCCATTTCATTACACACCATAGTAAATAATATGGCACATTCATATTTCATGGCAGGAGTGAGGGGTGAGATGGTGTGTGGGGTGCACCCTCAGTCTACTGAGGAAAAGAATTAAACTAAAGCTCTGCAAAATGGAGAGAATTAGGTTCTAAATCTATTTCACCATCTGACCATGTGCAGATAAAAAATATAATTCAAAAACCTTTGTTTTTTACGCAACAGTTGTTGCTATTTGTTGTACTAACGTCTAGAAATCACACTCCTGACAGTCCTGTTCAATTATTGATGTTTCAAACATGTTTTGGCGCGTCTTGGAGTGTAAATTATCGTGTACACCGTGCCCGACCATTTTTCTCCTTTTTATTTCCGTACGCATGCTTACCGTTTACTCATTATTGTACAACAAATAAATAGGGAAGAATATCACGCTTGTACAAAGTAAATATTTATTAAGGTTGATGGCCCATCATTTAAGAGGATAATAATGGTAATCTCAATCACATGGTAAATCACATGACCATTCCTCATCTCACGTGAAACGAAAGTAGGCAGATACTGATAGAAGGTATGTCACTATGTGTAGTAATAATCTACTTCATTTTAGCAGTTAATTAATTAAGGTATGCTGACTTAATTGTTGAACATGTTTTATCTATATTAGCATCTATGGGGGTTGACTGCTAGTGCACTTTGGAAGGGTGGATCAGGTTCGGGGAGGGGCTAACAAAGACTGACATTGTCTTGGAGCATTATTTACCTCTGTATTCAATTTTAATATGATGCCTTTTGTGATGTGTTCACCGCTGAATACTTAAAACAGACTTAATCTGTGTATCATGAATAATTTGCAACAGAAAATGAGGAACGGAAAAAGCTGCAACAGACCAGACTGGGTTTCAAACCCAGGGCGATGCAGGCTCCCTAAATCTCCAGTCAGGTGCTCTATCAACTGAGCTATCTGGTCACCATCGATCAAACCCATCTGATCCCCACATTCCTCCCCCTTTAAGGTATCCCCCCTCGAAGACACCATGTAAGTACTTTGACGGGGCTTTCACCTGTCACTTCCAGGGCACCAAATGTGACAGGAAAGAAGAAAGTTGACCTTCCAGGAAAGGGCCCTGGGTTGTTGTTTTCTAGGGCTGGGACAATATATCAAGATATCGATATATCGTGATATATGTGAGGATGATACGCATATTGACACAAATGAAGAAATATCGAAATATCGCCCATGAAAATCTGACTTCTATTTTTCTTTGTTTATTTAACATTTGGGGTTTAATATATAAGATAAATAAGTTAAATATAAATATAGATATGAAATAAATAATAATTAACACAATTTCAGTAAAATATTTTTGTTTGACAACATATAAACAACTATTTTGAATAAATTATTCTTATTTGCAAAGAAATAATTTGTTTATTTCAATGCAAAAAAAGATTTTATAAGCAATTTAACATATCGTGATACATATCGTATCGTGGCTCAAATATCGTGATACGTATCGATATAGAAAAAGTTGTATCGTCCCAGCCCTATTGTTTTCAGGGAAAAGACCTTTAAGGAGTGGAGGAGTGTTGTGGCCAGACATGTTCTGTCACTTGTGGCCAGATAGCCTGATGGAATGAGTACTTTTAATTACTTGAATTTCAGAGGAACCTGGTTCAAATCTTGGTCTGGTCCATCTCATCATTTTCCGTTCAGGTTATATATTCAATACCAATTGGGATTTGTAAAAATGCGTTATTATATTGGTTGTCAGTGACTTATGTTGAACATGAAATTCAGTTGCATAGAATAATTGCTCATTGGCATGCAGCTAATGATATGTCAAATGGTAATCCGTTCTTTGAAGGAAAGAATGTGTTCACTATCTGAATAGCAGATGAAACATGAATTTAGCATGTTCAAGATACATTCACTTCAATCACTTGTGTCTTCAAACAATTGATTCTTATTTCTTTAGAATGCTATAGTTTTGAATATTCATTATTGATTTAATCTGCAATGTAAATTTAAAGTTCTTGAAGTATTGATTATTTCATTGCTGCATTTGATACATTTAAGCTTTAATTTTCTCAGAATGAAGACCCTGTTGTTATTCCTGGCTGGGCTCTCCAGTATCTATACACTGGATAATGGATTGGCCCGCACTCCCCCTATGGGCTGGAACTCATGGGAACGTTTTAGATGCAACACTGACTGTCTCAATGATCCAGAAAATTGCATTGGGTGGGTAATCATAATAATATGGATTTTGTATTTAAAATACAAATCACTCGCCCTTTAAAATTAACTTGATATTTGTTTCATGTAACCTTTAAGCAGTGTATGAAACTGCCCAGAAATGTAGAATCCATGACTGGCAGATTGTATTTGGTACTTGAACTTATTTTCATGAATATTTTAGATATGTTGTATTCACATCAGTGCCTTTTTATTGGACAGTAACTGATTTTTGAACCAGTACTACATTGTAATATATGTATAACACATGATTTAACTTACATATTTACACAAGAAGATAATGATTTGTAACCTTGTTCATTTCAGAGAGAAACTGTACATGCAGATTGCGGACAGAATGGCAGAGGATGGCTACAAAGACGTTGGATATGAGTACGTAAATGTAGACGACTGCTGGATGGCCAAAAAACGAGGACCTGATGGAAGACTGCAGGCAGACCCTGACAGGTTCCCCAGTGGCATGAAAGCTCTGGGTGACTATGTAAGCTTTATCATGTACAGGTTCTGTTGTGAGGTTACTGGAAACTAGACATGTCTTGTTCTTCTTTTAAAGAAATTTTATTTGAAAGGAGTAAATACATGTATAATATCAAAATATCACCAGTTTGAACAGTTGATGACACATTTGTCGATATGATACATGTACATTTGATTAAATTACTCCATAATATGACATTGAAAAGCATCAATAAAACTTGTAGAACTTTTTTTTATTACCAACTTCAAATATTAATAAAATGAAAATCAAATTTCTTCCTGTAATTAATGCCAACTAAAGTAAAGACTTTGTATTTCTAGTAGTAAGTTGATATTAAAAAATGTTTTATTTTAAACTTACTAGTCAGACATTCATCAATACCATATAAGTAGAATTTTTAGCGAGCTAGGATTTAATTTTGGCATTATTAGCGAGGGTCATGAGATCGCTAAAATTAAATATCGCTAAAATTAATTGCATTTCATTTGTAATAGCTTCTTTAGTTAGCATTATAAAATCGCTAAAATTACTTCTCGCTTAAATTAAATTACCAATTTTTAAAGAGAAATCGCTAAATTTGTGTCCTGCTAAAATTTCCACTTCTATTGTACTTCTTTGTTTGATAAAAAAAAAATCACTTCCTCACACTTTTCCAGATCCACAGTAAAGGTCTGAAGTTTGGGATCTATGAGGACTTCGGGACAGAAACGTGTGGGGGATTCCCTGGCAGCAAGTTCTTCATGGAATCTGATGCTCAGACATTTGCTGACTGGGGTGTAGATCTACTGAAGTTAGATGGTTGTTATAGTAATGTAGAAGACATGACTTCTGGTGAGTTGTTTTTTGCTAGACACAGCAAGTTTCTTGTAGTATTTTTCTTTCTGAATTGTAACATGAGATGAAGTACAGGTTAATGCAAAATAAAAATCACACATATTTTCTGATGATACCCAGTAATTAACTCTCAAAATTTGTTTTTGATACATTGTATGTATTTTTCTCAGGATATCCCATTATGGAGTTTTTCCTCAACAAAACAGGCAGACCTATTCTCTACTCTTGCAGCTGGCCTGCTTACTTTGTAGCCAATGATAAAATTGTAAGTAAAGCAATCAAGGAACCACAAAAAATTTTATAAATACACTAAAAAAAAGGAATTATATCACTGTTATGTCAATAATCAATGATCTTTGTAAGGAAATAAATAACTTGTGACTCATTTTTTGCCATATTTTACAAAAAAGATAGGGAAAATCCCACATATTAGTCATTTGAAAGCCTACATTTATGCCATCTGCATGTGATATGGCAGTCTATTGTTAGACGCAAGGTAACTTTTGATCCATCTAAAATAGAGAACTGATATTTGGGCTTATTTATAAGGAGTTCCTTCTTTATACATAATAAAGGTCAAATAAAAATAAAAGAATTCAGAAATAAATTAAAAAAAAATAATTGTTTACTTGATTTAATTTCTGACATCTGTCCTTTTTTTGCAGCCTGATTACAAAGCTATTGCTAAGAGCTGTAACATCTGGAGAAATTTTGATGATATCCAGGACTCATGGGATAGCGTGGCCAGTATCATTGGATACTATGGCAAAAATAAGGGAAACTTTTCTGATGTAGCAGGTCCAGGAAATTTTAATGATCCTGATATGGTATGTTCTTTGTTGAAATTTTTAGAAGGATAACTTCATATAAGATGAACATAAATTGCTAGAGATGTCAAAATACTGTTTTGTATTTTTAATTTTTTTTCAGAATGTAATATCATGAACGTATCAGTGCAGTCATGAAATTGCACTGTCATTTTATTGCATCTGTGTGTTTTTGTAATTGGTATAAATTTTAAAAGAGCATATTAAAAAAAATGACATATAAAGCATTAAGAAAACAGCTTCACAAACAGAAATATTCAGTGTCATTGAAATTATATTTTCATTTTTCCAGATAATAGTTGGAAACTTTGGCTTGAGTAAGGAACAGCAGAAATCCCAGATGGCAATGTGGGCCATCATGGCAGCCCCCCTGATCATGTCCACAGACCTCAGGAATATTGACCCTTACTCCAAGGCCCTCCTACAACACAAGGGGGTAATAGCCATCAATCAGGATCCCCTAGGACAGCCCGGGGCTCTATTGGTAGATGTAAGTAAATACTGCATATAGGGCTATTTTCAGCGAATTCTATTTTTTGCTCTTTTGCACTTGTGAACAATTTTGCCCTGTTACAAATTCCCCCCATCATAGTTCTGTTTAAGAAATTATGCTGTATTCTTTGAAATTGCCCCATTTTGCATTTACCCATCCATGAAGAGGGCAAAAATAAAACAGGGACATAGATTTCCCTGTTTACAGTACTAAATGATTCGGTATTCTGAGACATTATTTGGAGAGTTTGTTTATGTGTGTTTACTGTTTGTTTATATGTAACAGATGAACCAAATACAGTTCTGGTTTCGGCCGGTCACTCCACAGGGAAGTGTCGCCTTCGCAATTCTTTACACTGGATCAGGAGGAACTCCGGAAAAGGTAAAAATTACATAGAGATTTATGTTTATTAGTTTCTTTGTACTTTGGGATGTAATCAGTTCTTTGGAAATGTCAGTAAATTTCTACCACATGACGTTGCTCATTCATCATCATAGAAAGCCTTTGCTTCAAAGCCATTTAAATTCAAATTGATATGCATAATGGCTATGAATTTCTTAGTTTTTCATTTTTTGACAACACCTGTCTTTTTTACCAGAAAATGTAATGTGTCAAACTTTAAAACAACAATGCTTGATACTTGACTACATGTAAACAACCCATTTCAAAATCTCACAAGTTCTTACTTTGTTTAAGGAATCATTTTCATAAATAAATACATCACATACTTTATCAGTTTTCAGCATTGTACTTTTTCATTGTTTCCACCCTTTACTGCCCTGTAGATAGATAACTTTTAATTTAATGTTTGTTTTTCTACAGCTGAGTGTGGAGTGTCAGACGGTAGGCATGATAGGACCAGGGGCGTACAATGTCACAGAAGTGTTTGACGGACGGTTTATTGGAATGTTTAAACCTATGGACAAAATCAATGTCACCGTCAATCCATCGGGGGTGTTTTTTGCGAAGGCTGTGTACTTAGGTTAAGATATTTGTTAAGACTTTATAAGAGAAATGTGAATTTCTATCATTCCATCGCCATGTTGTCAAGTTTGTATATGGGCAATGTTTCTCAGGTGTTAATCTGGTTGTTGTTGCACAACTTTCGGGGAAAAAAGTTTGAATACTAATCATTTTATGCCAGCCATTCCAAACATTCCTTTATATATTATTAATGTTTTAAATCTATGTAAAACTTATCAATCCATGAAATCTTAAATTTATTGCTAGAAAAGAAATAAATGTCAACAGTTGTTTTAACATGTTTTAATATTTCATATGTTTTATAATACACTGTACTACTTAATATTCTTTTTTGCATACCAAGCTACACCATCATCTGAGAAAACCGTCCTTTTAGACTGTGATTTCAAAATATCTGTCCCAGAAGAGGACGCTTTCATGTTAAAAAGCTACATTACCCTCTCAGGTTGGCTTTACAGTCACTATTTTTTGGCATTGCATATGGGTACCTGTCATATGATGAGAGCACTTTATGAAACCTATTCTCCTAAACCGAGTTGTCCTTCTTTCCCAACTCAGAGTGAATACAATGGTAGAAAGTGCTCTTAGCTATGATATGTTAAAAATAATGATCTTAAAATTTTTCCCCTTGGGTATTTATGCAATATATTTTTGGTCACTCAGTTTTTATAATACATTCTTTATAGATTTAATAACCTAGATATAATACTCCTTGCATTTATTTATAGAATCGAGATAGACTTTAATAATAATGTAGAGGCTAATTAATCTCACCTGATTTCTTCAGCTTCAGAGTGATGCTTATTTTTCTTTTTATAGGCCATATTAAAATTGCACAGATTAATTTTTCATAAATAAAATATCCTGTGTTTGAGTTATAAACTATTTACAGAATACACATACAGTGAAAACTGTCTAATCCGACACCTGTTCAATCCATCACACTGTGAATTCCGACATTAAATTTCTTATTCCCATTTCACTTTTGTTCCTGTTTTTTACACCAGGCAATCTGACACCCTGTTTATTTCAACACAAAATTTGTCTCCCAGTGGATGCCAGATCAGACAGGTTTCACTGTATACATTATAGTAATGCAGTTAATTTATTCAATATCCTCTTGCCCTACAATACTGTTTGTGAAATGTAGAGGTAGTAAATTTTTGCTTAATTTGTTTGATTGTGTGTTATGAAGATATATTGTGGCATAGCATAATAAATTAATAGAATTGAAAAGTGTGTTTTGTAATATGCATATATTATTATACATGTGTATATAAATTTAACTCATATGGAGGAGGAGTAGTGAATAAACCCTTGAGAAAAAGGAATGGACACTAGAAAGAGAAAGGGGTCAACCATAGAGAAGGAGGAAAAGTAATGCTTTAAGGAGGAGGGTATAGGCAGCACTCCTAAAGGAAAGGGTGCCTAGGGGAGGAACGAGGGAAGGAATAATGAAGCCTGAGAGAGGAGCAGGATCTGGAGAAGAGGATGAGGGCTATGGTTAACTGTATGAGGACTCATGACAACTTACAAGACAAAACTCACAAAAGTAGTGCTTTTGTGTAACTTTTGCAATTGTAGCCCTGGAAATATACTTTCATCTCTGTTTTAATGAAAGAAAGGCTCCCCCCTCCCCTCCTCAGAATTTATTGGTTCGCACTAGATGTTGCAAACTTCAGAGTTCACTTCTCTCACACAATTCCTTCTCATTTCTTTGACATGAGAGACACTAATTGTTTATTTGACAATGATCAGCCACGAAACTGTGAAAAACGTTGATCAAAAATTTTATTATCAGTCAATACGTAGCACAATTTGGACTTAACTTTCGAACAATTAGTACCTGTATAAGGGCCTTCATATTTTAAAGGTGTATCCCATGTGACATGGCTTCCTTTGAATAGCAACAATACTGACTTTTTGACCTAGACCTTGGAGTTTGACCAACCAAAAAAAGTTTCTTAAAATGTTTGTGAAAAGCAACATTGTTATTTTCCTTATTACCCCATTTCTTTTTTTTTCCACGAACGAACAATTAATTTTCGTATTTAGATTCTCTAGCACAGTTACAGTAGAATAACCTTCTTTAACAGCAATTTCATTTTCTGAGTGAAATTTGATTGTTAAATTTCGTACACAAACCACTTAGATTTAACGCTTAACATTAAGAACAATACACTTTGGAAAAGTTTCAGATCTTTTGCAATGTGATAGCTACTTACGGCTAACTCGATTACACACCTAACGACACTGTTATGATATTTCTTAATTTGTTTTTAATTTGGTTAAGTTAAATAAATTGAAAATTACATAGGTCTCAAGAAACATAACGAAGAAATTTAGAATGTTAACTAGTAGATGCATATTTCCCATATTCTTCAACATAAATGCCCCTGTTAAGCCAAGTATATCAAATTGTTTTACAATTGGTTAAATGTAAGTTCTTTGATTATCAGGATGTAAAGTCAATAGCATTTATGTAAATGATTTATTTTTCACTTTTTAAAATCATATAATGATTTTTTTTTTAATATTCAGTGATCAACAATTATCTGGGAATATGAGAATAAGGTTACGGTGAAAACAATGGACTCCAAAGCCTTTGTCATTAATACCAGTCAGTTGTGGCTCATACTTTGTGAAGCTATATTATCAAAAATAAATCAATAATAAAAGACTCAAATTTATTTATTCATAAAAGTCTCTGTTTCAATTTTTATCCAGAGATCGGTTGCCCGCGTGGCGCAGTTGTTAGAGCATCTGCTCTAGAGTCGAAAGTAAGGAGTTGATCCTTACGTCGCGGGTTAATCCCTCTGCGGGATGTTGAGACCGCACGAGACCGTATAAACCGAGGTCCCGTGTTACAGTAGGTGCTGGCACGAAAAAAAACTTCCTGCACTATGGCCCTAAGTGCTAAGTATAAAACAAAATCTGCAGCTCTCCACAGGCGTGGTGGCGTCTCCATATTAGTGAAAAATTCTAGAGATCGTAGAATCATAACACAAATCCATGAACTTTATATTTTTTTTAACCCAAAGATTAATAACAAATATTTTACTGTGAATTAATGTAATTATTACGGAAATATTAAGTGCAGGTAATACGTAAGCTGCATATTACTTTCACAATCATGAATGGACTTTGCAGAAGCTTTTATATAAGGAGTAGTCTTCCCTATAATGGTTGTATTCAATATATGTGCTTGTAAATCACTGATACCTGTATGACAGCAAATTCGAAAGTAAAGGCTCTTTAAAAAAAGTAATACTCCAAGATCATGAGGTAAAATAAACCAGAGAACCCAAAAGAAAGGACGTTTTTACAAGAAATATACATTTGATACATGAAAGTCCTAGCAACAGCCTTTAAATGGTACAAAAACACAAATTTGTTAATATTTTCTCAAATTTTCAATATAAAATCATGACTTATATGTTGCTATAGCATTTCACACGAAAATATAATTAAAAACAAAACTTTTATCTGGAAATTATTGAAATTACGAATTCCAGAACGCTTTTGATGAACATATCCTTGCACTTTTACAAAGTAATATTTAATCTACCGGTAATACAATGTAGCTAGGAAAAGTAGATGTTTCGTTGTGTATTTATGAGAAATATTTAAACTATAAACCAGAAAATTCAGACCAGAATGTGAGAAAGCAAAACCGACTCGCCAGTATTGTCAGTCCGTGCTCAGTGACGTGTACATATTAATTTAACAACTTGAACACACCCGTTCCAAATTCGTAGTTTCAATAATTTCCAGACAAAAGTTTTTTTTAAAAAATTTATTTTCGTGTGAAATGCTATAGCAATATATAAATCATGAAATTATACAAAAAATTGAGAAAACATTAACTTCAAATCTGTGCCCATGACCTTTTCAAGGTTATGAGTAAGAATTAAAGTTTTTCAAATGAAGAACAATTAAACTCCAATTTAATTAATGTTATGAGGTAAAAAAAATGTTAGTACCTTGAGACATGAGATACATGAGATTTGAAAGCCCTTACAACAACCATTTGTCCAAAGTTTAAAGTTATTTTTTTTTAAATAGAAAATTTATAATGCAGGTGAGAATCAAGGTCATGACGTCAAAAATTGATACACATTTGAAATATGAAAACCCTAGTAACAATCGTTCAAATGTTATACGCAAGTTTAAAGTTTTTGAGGTCAGACCAAAAACCATTATTCCCACTTGTTTCGGGAATAAATTTTAACCCATAGTATAAAAATTATTATACTATGGGTCAAAAATTTATTACAGAAACAAGTGCCTGTACCCCCGAATATCCGGGCAAATTATAGATTTTGATTCTATGAAGATTTTATATTAAGCAAATACATTTGTTATTGTCGTTGTGTATTTATGAGAAATATTTAACGAGGGCCTTTATATAAAACAGATGTATCCCTTGTGACAAGGCCTCCGTTAGGATACCAACAATTCAAACCTTTTGACCTTGACCCTGGAGTTTGACCTGCTTTTGAAAAAATAACCTTGTTCATAACCTTTAAACAATTAATGCTAGGGCTTTAATTTTTCACATGTATATTTCTTAAGACAAGGCCTTTCCCTAGGTACCTTTAATTTGACATTTTGATCGTGACCTTGGAGTTTGATGCACATATAAAAAATGTAATCTTGGCCATAACTTGTTCAATGTTTTTGCTTGGACTTTCATCTTTCACAAGATGTACCGATATATTCATAACAACAAGTCCTTTCTTTTGTCAACATCATTTTCCATCGCTGAACATTGGAGTTTGACTTGCATTTGAGAAACGCCAACCTTCGCCAAAAGCTGTCATCTGGGAGCATCGGTGTTTCACAAACACACCTTTCTTTATCTCTTGACCTTGGAGTTTGACTTGCATTTTGAGAATATTTAAGCTTTCTTATGAGCTGCCATACGGGGCATCAGTGTTTCACAAACCATCTTGTTATTAGATTATATTCGGCATTTGTCAAGACGTCAAAAGAGGGCAAAAATAAAACGAGGGCAAAATTTTCTCCGTGTGCTCTGTTTCACAGTCATTCCTATTGATAAAAAGATGCTGGTTTTATGAGAGAAAACAATAAATATTTGATAAAAAACCACAGTTGAAAACTTATCAAAACTTTACACAATATATGACTCGATCATGATGCCCTCTTTCATTTGTTAGGAGCTTAGTACACTCCTAAGTACAAGAAAGGAAATAAGCCCTTCAGACTCTCTGGAGTGGGTCAGTGACTTATAATAAAAACATTTGCTAACTCCGTGGACGTGGTACATGTAACATCAGAAAATCTGTAAGTATTATTTCATATATTCAAACATAAGCTATTTATACAAATATTTCGAACTCGCTGTGAGACAGTTAGGAACTGTAGCGTTATGGTATTATATATTAGGCTTAGACCATAACGCTACAGATCCCGTAATGCAAAAAATGTGCAATTTACGGCGCAAGATTTTATGCGCACTGTTTGGGAGAAATTCTCCACTTTTCAGATTTGTTAAATCTTCTACCTTTCACCCCCTAATTTCAGACACATTCTTAAACTAATTTGTACATTTTATCCTCCTCTCAACCTTTTATAGTCGCCTCTACAGGACTAAAAATCGCCCAGTTTGCCAACAGTGCTATAGAGAGTTGAGAGGTTGAGAGGTGTATTAAATATACAGATTTATTAAAGAATTATGGAGGGAAAGTTAGTTGATTTACTAATTTTGGAAAGTGGATAAATTTTCCCAAACAGTGCGCAAAAAATCTTGCTCATTGCTCATTTTTGGCATTACGGGATCTGTAGCGTTGTGGTAAAAGACTAATATATAAAATCATAACGTTACAGTCCTGAAGCTATGAGACAATATAATACTAGTATTGGAACTAGAAGTTAAAAGATTAACCTTGAATTTTCTTATGTATATCTTGAAAATTGAAAGCAAACTGCACTAACTTTATTTTCAGTTTCATGATGAGGATATCTACAATCACAGTGGTGGTTTTGATCGCAGTTTTATCTACAGAGCAGGCACTAGCTCAGGGCTGGTGGGATAGAATTCTCTCACATGCGCGGAGTGGATGGAACACTGCTAGAGACCATGCAAGACAAGCTGTAGACGAAGTCCACGAAACGGCCCACTCTGGATTTGACCTCGCTAGACAGGCTGCACGAGACGCCCATGATGCTGCCCATGCTGGGCTAGATCTCGCTAGAGAGGCTGCTGGCAAGTTTCGAGCTCGGTTTGACGAAGCACGTAGGCGGTTTGACCAGGACTAAAGGTATTCAGAAATTTTCCAGAGCAGAAAAATATTCTCAAACTAAAGGCAGAGAAAAAAATAATTATACAATCCCTTGGCCCTGAGTGCTAGTTTCTTAAAGTGTGGCAGAAAGATTGGATTACATTGATATTTTCCTTATTACCCGATTTCTTTTCTTTCACTAGCGAACAATTTTCCTATTTAGATTCTCCATCCCAGTAACAGTAGAGTAGCTCTCTTTAAGAGGAATGTCATTTTTTGAGTGCTATTTAATTGTCAATTTCGTACACAAACCACTTAGGCAGGCGCGTAGCATCGTTTTTGAAAGTGGGGGGCCAGCCAGGGAGAATTTTTTTTTTTACTTACCTGAAAAAGTTGACAAGCAAAAAAAAAAAAGAAGAAGAAGGGAAATTTTGCCCGCTGAAGTCGAAAATCCTATTTCGTGGGGGGGGGGGGGGGGGGGGGGGGGGGGGGGGAGGGGGTAGAGGTTAACTTTTTCTCAGTGTCAACTACTTTCAGTACCGATTTTAATACTAATTCCAATTCTAATACCACATTTTCGGTACATCACTAAAAGTGGGGGGGAGGGGGGGGCAACCAGGCTTAATTTTCTATTAACATTTCCTATAGTATAAGTAAAAGTGTTGCTACGCCCCTGTTAGGTTTAACATTTAACATTAAGAACAATACACTTTGGGAAAGTTTAAGATCTTTTGCAATGATTAAGAGCTTCTTACGCGATTATAAACCTAACGACGCAGTTATTATATTTCTTAAGTTGTTTTTAATTTGGTTATGTTTAAATAAATTGATAATTACATAGGACTCAAGAAACATAACGAGGAAATTTATAATATTGACTGGTAGAAGCATATATCCCATATTTTTCAACATTTTCCCTGTAAGCCACGTATCAAATTGTTTTACAATTGTGTATAAATGTAAATTCTTTGATTATCACGATGTAGAGTCAATAGCAGATGGAAATTATTTTTTTCTCACTTTTCAAAATCATCTAATGACTTTTTTTTATTTTCAGTGATCAAAAATCACCTAGGAATGTGAGGATAAGGTTAAACGGTGAAAATAATGGACTCCAAAGCCTTTGTCATTAAGACCAGTCAGTTGTGGCTCTTACTTTGTGAAGTTATACTATCAAAAATAAATCAGTAATAAAAGACTCAAATTTATTGATTTATTAAACTCTCTGTTTCAATTTTTATCCGAAGATCGGTTGCCCGCGTGACGCAGTGGTTGGAGCGTCTGCTCTAGAGTCGCGAAGTAAAGAGTTGATCTTTACGTCGCGGGTTCGAATCCAGCTGTGGGATGTGGAGACCGGTCCTGCGGATGAGACCGTATAAACCGAGGTCCCGTGTCGCAGTAGGTGCTGGCACGAAAAAGATCCCTCCTTGCTCAATGGCCCTCGGTGCCGAGTATAGGACAAAATTTGCAGCTCTCCGCCGGCAAGTGGTGGCGTCTCCATGTTAGGGAAAAATTCTCGAGAGGGAAGTTAAACAACAATTAAACAAAGAAAATATCTAGAAATCATGGAAGCATAACACAAATACTTGTTACTTTATAATTTGTTTAACCCAAAAATTAATAACAACAAATATTTTACTGTGAATTAATGTAATTATTACAGAAATATTTAGTGCAAGTACATTTAAGCTGCATGTTCATGACTTTCACAATCATGGATGGACTTTGCAGAAGAATATAATATTATCTTCCCATTAATGGTCGTATTCAATAAATGTGCATGTAAATCACTGATATACCTGTATGACAGCAAATTCGAAGATAGAGGCTTTTTAAAGCAAGCAAAGCCATGAGCTTAAAAAACCCAGAGAACCCAAAGAAAGGACGTTTTAACAAGAAATATACATTTGAAACATGAAAGTCTTAGCAACATCATTTAAAAGGTACAAATACACAGATTCGAAGTTAATAATATTTTCGCAAATTTTGACTAAACAATCATGACTTATATGTTGCTACAGCATTTCACAGAAAATAATTTTTTTAAAAACTTATTTCTCTGAGAGTTATTGAAATTACGAATTTAAAGACGAGTTTAATTGACACATCCTTGCACTTTTTCAAAGTAATCTTTAATCTAATAGCTAAGAAAAGTAGAAATTTCATTGTGTATTTATGATAAATATTTAAACTATAATCCAGAAAATTCAGAGCAGAAATGTGAGAAAACAAAACCGACTCACCAGTATTGTCATTCCATGCTCAGTGATGTGTACAGAATTTAACAACTTGAACACACGCGACCCGAAATTTGTAGTTTCAATAATTTCCAGATAAAATAAAGTTTTATAAATTATATTTTCGTGTGAAATGCTATATAGTACGAAAGCCTATTAGGATCAATCTATAGAAAAAAAATTAAAAGGCGTTATAACGCCTTTCGAAAAGGCGTAATAACGCGAAAAAAGGCGTTATAACGCCTTTTGAAAAGGCGTAATTACGCCTTTCTGTTCCAAAAGTCGTTATTACGCCTTTCCAATCAAAAAGGCGTTATTACGCCTTTTCAATCAAAAAGGCGTTATTACGCCTTTCTAAAAGGCATTATTACGCCTTTCCAAAAGGCGTTATTACGCCTTTCCAAAACTCGTTATTACGCCTTTTCAAAAGGCGTTATTACGCCTTTCCAAAACTCGTTATTACGCCTTTTGAAAAGGCGTTATAACGCCTTTCTAAAAGGTGTTATTACGCCTTTAAAAAGACGTTATTACGCCTTTTTGAATAACCATTATTTAGCATTTAACAGGCCCGTGCTTTTACCCCCCCCCCCCCTAACCACCACCCCCACTCTACTGGCCAAACTCGTGGGGTGACCTCTCGGTTAAACTTTGTTTAAATGCAATAATTTGCCAGTTTTACACACTGCAACAAAATCTTCAGGAACCAACCACCCAAGAGTTAATTATAATATCTAAACTGTAGCACTGAAGACTTTTCCCCAAAAGTGTGTATGTGTGGAGGGGGGGTTTACCCCATTTACACTCGTACTTCTGGCCTACTTGAAAATGAAAATGGAAAGGCGTTATTTTATGTTAATAAATATATGAAAGATTTAATTAAAACCATCTTTATTTATGCAATTCTCTATATTCCTGTACATCTCACTGACAACCGTTTGCATTCGTATTAAGAGAAGGCAACACTGTCCTTGTGAAGATACGATATAAACAGATGTATCTTGGAGCTTTGCTTCCATGGATTAAAATTCATGTCATTCAAAGATAATTTTCTCTCTTCTTGGAAAAAAGCAGACAAACTCTTTGCATAGGTATAATGAGCAATTGAAATCAATGATCCTTTGTATAGGTGTGTCTGGTATTAAAAAAGGACTTAGCTGGTTCAACATTGAAAATATATGACGCATTTAAAAATCTTTCTTCCTGGAAATCTAATATTATTATCTGTTTCAATTATTTTTTGAGAAATTAGTCCTATATCAAATTGTAAAATTTATGTCCCAAAGGTAAGATTTCTGCACCCCCACCCCTCGGTTGGGCTAAATATGTTTAGTCATGTATTCAAAATAAAGACGTAATAACGCCTTTTGGAAAAGCGTAATAACGCCTTTTCAAAAGGCGTAATAACGCGTTTTAGAAAGCCGTAATAACGCCTTTTGGAAAGGCGTAATAACATCTTTAGAAAGGCGTAATAACGCCTTTTAGAAAGGCGTAATAACGCCTTTTGGAAAAGCGTAATAACGCGTTTTAGAAAGGTTTAATAACGCCTTTTGGAAGGCGAAATAACGCCTTTCAGAATGGAAAGGCGTAATAACGCCTTTTTAGAAAGGCGTTATAACGCCTTTTGGAATGGAAAGGCGTAATAATGCCTTTTTGAATGGAAAGGCGTAGTATAACGCCTTTTCAAAAGGCGTTATATAACGCCTTTTAATTTTTTTTCTCTTTAGATTGATCCTAATAGGCTTTCGTAATATAGATTATATAAAATTCATGATATTTGACAGAAAATTTGAGAAAATATTAACTTCAAATCTGTGTCCATGAATCTGAGAAAGGTTATGAGAAAGATTTCAAGTGAAGATCAATTAAACTCAATGTTATGAGGTAAAAATATTAGTCACAAGAATGACACATGAGATATGGAAGCCCTTGCACCAACCATCTGTCCAAAGTTTAAAGTTAAAAATTTTTAAAAATAGAAAATTTATAATGCAGGTGAGGATCAAGATCAAGATATTAAAATTAATACACATTTGAAATAAGTAAAACCTTACTAACAATATATCAAATGTTATAGGAAAGTTTAAAGTTTTTGAGACCAAAAACCATTACCCCAGAATCCGGCCAAATTTATAGATTTTGATTCAATGATGATTTATTAAACAAATGCATGTAAATGTAAACGATAAAAAATAAAATGAAGATGCAGTGCATAAAATTTAAGTAATTACTATTAGCCCTTTTCATCACAAAAGTTTGTCATAAATATATATTTAAAACCACCTTTACATGAATCGGACAAGCATTTTGCTTCCACTCCATTATTACTTTTGTATGAATGGCCAGTAAGCACTACATAAAGTCATATGATATCTTGTTCTTCCTTATTGGATGTTGACCCTGGCCCGAAGTACAAATAGGTAGTTAATTGGTTTTTGATAAATCTCTCAGGAGGTCATCAGTATCATATAAATTAAGGTACAAAATACTTGGTCTACATTGTTATTGTCAGTAAACCGAAGCAGTAAGTAGTTTCATGCTTTAATATATAGCTTTTAAGATAACGATTTTTTAAAAAAAATATTTATTTTTTATCATTGACACACTATTCCTATAACAAAGTCCATCGCTCTATAACTGTTCTATTTGAAGTGTAAATCGAGAAAATATTACTGTACACGTCAAAGACGGCAAAGGTTTTTGAAAAAAAAAAACCAAAAACATTTTATCATTACGCCACTGTGGCAACCATGAATTTGTGGCTGCACCTCTTTAAGCTGAAAGTTTATGGGAACCTTGTTTGACCGAATTGTTATATAAAACTGAAGCAACCCATCTGTTGCTCTTAACGTACATGTACAGTGCATTTCAATCCACAATATGTTGATATGCCCCCGGTCGGGTTTAATCAACGTTTCTTGAACGAACAAACGAATGCACGTATATGTTTATTGATTGTATAAAATACAGAAAATGTATAGTATTCTTCTCAATTAATTTATTGATTTTTATTAGAACTAGAGGAACTGTGAGCGATGAGCTCACTAAATGATACCCCCCGCCTCCATATAGTTATAATTGCAAAGTCCATGTTTTGTTGTGTCCGGGAAACCCAAAATATGTGTCGGATCAAAAAGTAAAATAGGAGGTGCACAATGGCAGTATTGTAATAAAGATTCTGTGAAAGTTTCATCAAATTTCATTCAGTGGTTTGAGAGGAGTTGCGGATAAGAGATGGGTACCCCAAAGCGTAACAGACGGACGGACGGACGGACGTACAGACGGACGGAATTAACGATTACTATATACCCTCTCGCTTTTCAAGCGGGGGGTATAAACGAGGGCGCTTTTGATTGGTATTCGGTAGGAATCTGTGCGTAATTGAAAAGTGAAAATTTTATTGACATGTCTTATGAAATTTTAACATTTTTTATTTATCGGGTTCCTGTGCAACAGGATAGGAAAATATTTTCCCGAAATTGAGCTTTGATTTGCTAAAAAATAACTTGAAAATTGGCCAGATCAGACATTTGGTACAAAATGGTACATTTTTAAATACGTTTTTCTAAATTTTTTCTATTTCTGGGTCTTCTCTCCATGATTTTGAAATGTTATTTGTGTGTATTTTAATTCAAAGAAACGATTACACTTTTTAAAAAATGGAGAGAAGACCCAGAGACCACGAAAAATGAACTTTTTCACAAAAATTCCAAACGTGTGAATGTGGTGCTTCTTTGTCCTTTTTATATCATTTGTATGTATGTAGTGGTGATAGCTCACTAAGTAGGATTACCTGTTCCGTGCGCTCGAAGCGAGAAGATTTTGGTTCGAGCCTAGCATGGGGCGTTAATATTTATACCCCCCCCCCCCGCTTGAAAAGCGGGAGGGTATATAGTAATCGTTAATTCCGTCCGTCCGTCCGTCCGTCTGTTACGCTTTGGGGTACCCATCTCTTATCCGCAACTCCTCT